CGCTCACACACACATCCGCATGCACGCGTATCCACCAATCAGAATTTAGGCATGTGGCGTCGTGGAGGCATCAAAGATGGCCTATGTCTTCTTTACTCAAATCCTATTCATTTAGGAGCTGATGTGGGACTCGAACTCACACCGTCTCGGAAAGAGTGGTACTCTAGGAATTCGCACACAGAAATGGCCTCCAATTTTGGCTACCTGCCATTTACCCTTAACACCGATTGTTCATTAATTGGTCGCTCGAATCGATTTTCTCCCATTTAATGTACACGTGATTGCCTGTGGAGTTCAATGGGGTCAAGGCCTTCTTTAAAGATCGCTGTAAAACCCACTTTCGCTGCAACGGCCCAAGGGATTGGCCAGTTTGCCTTGCGCGGATTTTATGAAATTCGCTGTGGACCAATGCCAGGGCAGTTTGTGTGTTGAGTCAAAAATGACTGTGAATTGTGATGAGTACGTTAGTAGGTCTAGCAACGTTTTACATTCGATTATTTGGGACGAACAACAGGCATTCGGCCAGCTGCGTCGAAAGCAACCAGACAAATAACACGATTCGTTGCCACTAGCATCATGGGGTCAGGTCAGAGCCATATCAACTCTACTCATTGGTGAATTCTAGTCAATTCGTCAACGACCGCATCAAAACAAAACAGTATATCGATTTCAGCTGTTTCCGGATAAGTTTTTTGGTCATTTTCGTCTCCACTATTTCACCCAAAAAACACCTGTTTTCACAGTGTACAAACGTGTGTAGAAAAGACGTGTGCACGTGTTGTGCATGTTGCGTACTTTTTCTCTCGTCCAATCACTTATTCTGCTACAGTTCTGTTGACACTTGCGCACAACTAGCCCACATGCACACACACACACACAGTCCCACTTATGGGCAACACGTCGCCTCCTTCTGGTATCTTCGAAGTTTTACGAATTGTCGTGGCTGCGATTAGTTAGAAGCACTTGTGTCAATGTGCTGTGGACGTTAACAGCAAGGACACTTCACAGACCTGCCGTGGTGCTCCCAACTGCTGGTTCATTGGTCACCTCGACATTCTGAATGCCACGGGGTCACCCAGTGACGCCCACGAAGACATTTGCGATGTGTTGGATGGTGTTGGTTGCTGAACACAATCCACGTGTCAAAGCTAACAGGCATGGCAAAATCACTTCCACAGTCAGCCAACTCTGCAAGTGGTTGTAGATGGCTTGGTTGGTCTTCTCTTCATCGATTCACTTGTGGTTGGGCTGTGTGGTACGCAAAACCGTTAGTGGAACCACAATATAACTTGTGAATTGGCTGGCATTACAGCAGAAGTGCGATTAACGAGTGACCCACAAAATCAATTTCTCACTGCCGTTATACACTTTTCGCTTGATTGAACCGTTGTGTTGGCGAAATGAGTGCGTTTGTTGATAAGCAACCATTGATCGAATTTAGGCAAACACTGACATGGTTCTTGCTTTCGATCGCGGTTATCACTGACGTGAATGCATCAGCTGCGGTGATCTTGTCGTGAGGCTCTAAAACTACTTCATTCATTGATTGGACCGGAATCTGTTTTTGTTTTAATATTTCAATCGTCACTCGATCGACCGGGATACCCGCCATCTCTAGACCACTTGCTGATTGGTTGGAATAATCCAGAAAATAGATTGGCTAACTCACTCGTGTGCACGCACGCACCTTAATGAGCGCATGTGAACGCGAGTGCAGCTGCGTAAACACCAATCAGCGAACAGGTCTTCAGACTTGATCCACCTTACACTGCTCTAGCTCATCCGAGTCGGCAGAATGCGCAGACGGTCATTTTTACACTAACCTACATTTAGCAACCAATCAGAATTCGGTAAAGTCGGACAATGCAAATTACTCCAACCTCCAGTGTAAATGTGCAACGCTCATGTCTTTCGATGACACAAGAGGCAGTACTTCAGTTAACTTCGAATGCCTTCAAAGAGTAATCTGTTGAATCCATCACACACACACACACGCTTTCTGCATTATCAAGACTGATACCACTCCGTGAAACGGTGCCATTGGCGAATTTAAGCATTTGTGATGTCTCTCACTGAAATTCGGATAAAATTTTACATTGACAAAACGGATCTTTTTTTTACTGGAGTTATTGTCAGGACATTTCTTCTCGTCAAATTATTTGCAGCTAAGTGGCATGATATCCGGGGCAATAAATTCAACCTCACTTGTGAATTGACTGACATTTAAGCAGCCGTGCAAGAAACGAGTGATCCGGGGGAAACGAATCCCTTCCCCTCGTTCTGCGTTCTTTTGGGATAGATAAATGACCTTGGCTACAAGGGCTGGCATTTTCATTAGGTCTGTTTAGCCAGAAATACGATATTTCCTAATTTTACCCCATAGTAGAACACCAAAGCATCATCTGGAGGTTGTCCTATTAGAACGGGTGTAATACATCTGCGACGAGTGCACGAAGTCCCCTACCATGAATGATCCAACTTAGACGATGCGCCACGTTTCGATGCAAACTCCGTGTGAGTAGTTATTTCTCAGTTTACAGATGGCTGGACATGAGCTAATTGGTCGATTTCCGAGCCAATGGCATTTCAACATGGCTGAAATTCGTCACAACTTCGATGAGCCCGTCGACACCTTACCAGAAATGCAAAGTGTTTAGGTAAAATTCAAAGTCAGGCGCTATTCACTTCTGACATGCCGCATGTTCACTCTCTGCCACGCAAAACTCGTGTAAAAAGTTCCGACCATGTGATGAGAAAGAGAGCAAAAAACAGGCCTAACAGTGACTAACTGGGAGGGGAATTTTTCTAAGGGGAAGTAGGTCAGGCTTTTCCGGAAAAGTGCACATCATTTAAGAATTTGTGCAGAGGAAGGCGCTTGGGCAATTCACGTGCTTCTCTCAAGGCCGTACAAATTCTAATCCGCTGCACACCGAGTTGACGCAAATAACGCGGCTGATTCAGCAAAAAATCGATAATTATTGATTTCTCTCTGTTGCTTCAAGCAGTGACGGACAGGTGTTGTTAGCAGCTGGAAGACAAATCCTTTTTTTCAGAAGAACGCCAGCTGTTAAAAGTGCAAATTAAAATTCAAAAAGCCTATTATGGTTGTGTGTATGTGTGTGGAGTCGTAGATTTTTGTATATTTTTTCTTGTCATTTTATGGCGCATTAGATCGTAAACTCGGCCATGTTTCTGCTTTCCAATTAGGCCATTATTCCGAAACTAGTGCTAATCACAAGCTCGCATAAAATCAAGTTGATGTTTTAACATGACACCTGGAATTCGGGTATTAAATCCTTTGTGGATTTCAGATTATACAAATATTTCTCAGGCCAAGTGGTTCTATCCCACTAAAAAAGCGTGACCCGAAAGGGATCGATTTTTGTGAACCTAGATGAGCCAATCACGAATGTAGGACGAGAATACGTTACTGCTGGCGACGATTCCATTGTTTCCGTGCTGACAAGAAAAGCGCAATCTCAGATACAGAGACAGCCAATGAAAGCGCTAGCACCACCAATGCTGAGGAGCCAATAAGATCGAGGCGGGTAATATGAATTCGAATCGGTGCTTAAGGTCGCGCAACAAAGGTGGAGCATTTAAATTAGTAAGTTTACATGGAAATTAGTCCAGGCGAATTTCGAATTCCATAAACCGAGAACAGTAGAATCGACACACCTCATCGATAATTTTCGACGTTATTGGTTTCCATTGAGTGCATGGATTGACTTGAAAGCTCAATCGGCGAAAATCGGCTCCTGTACTGCGTATAAGCGTAAATTGTGCAAGGTCGACTTGTAAAGAATTCTAAGTTTTCTGATGACTTAAGCATCGTGAATGTGAATCAGAACGTCAAACGTTGTCTTGCTGTTTTAAATAGTTATACTTCTTTTAAATTTCTGCATTTTTCAGGCCTTACTAATGGTACTAAAACAATCCCTAACCCTGAACTATAGCTGTATGCACATATGGGCTTTGGAAGCTACGCAAGTTACTTGCGATTGGACAGTCAGTAATCCACGCAATAAGAAGTTCGTGATTTCCAAAGTCACCAATTTTGTAAAGTGCTAATCAGATAAAAACTCGAGACACAACGTGATGCTGGCGAGTGGGCCTGGTTTTAAAACTACCAACCACCATCACCGCCGCTACCAACACCACCACAAAAATCATGTCTTATTGTTATGGGGGTTGAGTAGACGCCACATACCAAGCTTGTCGACTGATCGATAAAAAGGAAGAAAGGTTATCTTCGACGCAATTGGCCGAATGGCTGTTGTACGTCCCAAGTAATCGAATGTGGACACGTCGCTATAACTGCTAACGTACCCGTCACATCTTCACTATCATTTTTGACTCAGCACACGAACTGCCCTGGCATTGGTCCACAGCGAATTTCACAACATTTGAGCGTGTTTTCTGCTTTTATGATTGTAGACAATACAGTTACCGTCGCAGCTGTCTCTTCAGTCGTGTTACTGATTACCACTGCGTCAGCATTAGCGAATGTGGCATCTTAGCAAATTGCATTACATAATGCCTACTTAGGTCCTCTAAGTAGACATAATTTTATCCATCACCGACGACTTCGGGTTTTTCTCGTTGCATACTTTTGAAACAAATTCCGAAACGGATCTTGCCCTGAACGCAGGTTTTAATTGAAGTACTGACGAATATTATTAATCTAGCGCGTTTTACGTATTTACTGAACCCTGCCAAATCAGCAGGTAAGTATCTGAAAAGCTATTCTCAATTTAATAAAAAAATGTCCACGTAATTCGGAAATCAGAGAGCACACTTCCGGTAATAACTCACAGCAAGTACGGACGACGGCTGCAAGATTCCTCAATTTTACCAAAACCAAAAACACCATCGACTGACTGCGGTAAAAACCTCATTTTCTTCCCAGTTTAATGGAAAAAAAACAGTCACTATAACGCGAGATCTGCATTCACAATGACTAAAACAAGCAATAACTACTAGCACGGGGTTAGCGGCGCCTACACCATGACCTCATTCATGTGTCTGCGTTTTTCCAAATTCTCTGGATCTGGCATCGCGTCGAAGTCGGGCATATCGGCGATGCGTTCCGGCATGGGAGCGGGATTCGGCACTGGACGTGGACGTTTCGTGTCGACGAGGCGGACGCGGTTGAAGTGACCCAGTTCCGGACGCTCAATGCCCATCTTCTCCTTTATACAGCTGTCCAGTGCGTACTGCAGCTTGCGACAACTAGGGTAGAACAAACCGACCAATCGTATTGGTTTTTTCTGGTTTGGTTAGAAAAAAGTGGAGCAAATGAGAATAGAGAGGGCTGGGTTTCACACAGTTGTCTTCACGACACATAGAACTCCAAGGAGGCGGGAATGTAATCGTTTCCCGTAGCTTTAGGTGGGTCCAAAGCAGACACTGTGGTACACTGCGGTCTCATGTGACTTTACCTCGTAAAAAATACGACAGAAGAGCACAAACATGGGCAGGATGTTAGGAGTGAACTGGTGTTTGGATCTATTCAGTAAAGATCAATAGAACAAATACCGCCGAATGTAAACAGATGAATACTGACGACTTCAAGATGTATTTAACTCGAACAGGCGATAAAACCACTGCCACAATCATTGACCCACAAGTGAATAGATGCATCAAAGAACAGCAGAGCGTTATTCGAACCTTTTAGACCTTGGACCGAATGTTTCATGCGTTTCAGTCATATTACTCAGGCCTCTCCGAGGACATACCACGAACAGAATTTGCAAAGCGAACAGTTGCTAAGGCCGGCCATACAAGAAATTCGGAAAATATATTTGTAAAACGAAAACCACATAACGTCTGCATTTAACATTATACAAAGTGGCTTGTGGCAACGAGCAAGCAAATATTAGACAGACTACCACGGCTTCTAAGATAAAATTGTATACAAAAATGAGCAAAAATTAAAATCTGGTCATAAAAATAGACCAAATACAAAAAGCATACCTTTGGATACTGAAATGAGCTCCACCATATCGCCAGATGCACTGATAGTATGGAGTGAAAACGTCCTCACAATTCTTTTTTAGTAATTTCAAAAATTTCAAGCCACAAGCAGTAACTTCTTTACCCTCATTCAGACACTTACGTGGGTCATGGTGCTCTTGATTACACAGCATAAATTCCTGAAAAAAATTCATTACAAAATAAGGCAAACCTTTGACTGCTGGTCACAAAATTTGCCCATATGCAAAGCAGCGGCAAGCAAAGGAACAGCCGTCATCTTTATTTCAGGAACTTCTAATTCCTCAAGAGTCGGCAACTCCATAGATTTGGTGAGCATGTTGGTAAAAGCAGGTTACGAAATCCACCGGCAGATCTTAATAAACGCGCTTTGCTTTTTTAAACATACAAACATGCATTTGCCACAGCTACTTCAGCATAAGCAAAAAGGCTTTAAATACTACAAAGTACACTTCATAGCGAAAGTCTAAAAAGGAATACCTTTACATCTTGGTTACCTGAAAGTTAGAGTGGCATTTTGCGTTGATATACCTAGGTCCAAAATTTTTGCTTAAATACAAAATGAGTACTGAGTGCAATAGTGTTAAATAGTTAAAATAAAAAATCAGAATTTAAGGAAAGAGCCTCGGGCAGTAAAATAAGTCGATTAACTAGTACAAACTTTTTCTAGTTTTAAAATACGTATTTATATTTACGGAAAGTTTCGTTAACATTAGTTAAAAATTTACATCTCTATTATGAAGAGAATAATCAGATTCATTTGAAAGCAAAGTAACTGTAGTGAAGATAATATTAAAAAAACAAGGAAATATGCTTTATTTAAGTCAATTGAATTACGGTATCCCTTTGTTACATTGCATCAAAAAAACATAGAGTTAGTTTTCGCAGCAAAAACGCTGTGTATGTGACGACAAGCAAATGAACAAGGTTAGCAAGCGTAAACGATCACGATTCGATCGAATTAATATAATGTACATCTCGAGATCGATATTAACCTATACCTAATGTACAAGTGACATATAACTTTGTATGAAACACTCGACTACGTGTTAACTTCATCTTTTTTACTCTTTGGTTTCTTTTTGAGTTTTAAGCCGCACAGTGGTCTGCAACATATATAATTGAGTTGAGGAAAGATTTGCTTGTGCAAATATTTCATTCGTTTATGAATCGTCTTTCCACTGTACCAATTAATCCATAAGAATATCAAAAAAACACGATTCTAGCACTAAATTATCCATATTTTTAAAATACATTAGATATCTCCCGTCTACCTTGCATACTATAAAAATTTACAAATAGTTCACACTTGTATGATGAAGGCCAATTTCGTGTAAGCATTTTCACCTCCTCTGGTGTTGATGTTTTTTTCTAAAAGCAAAGCATGCAGCATTTACATTAGGCTATCACCTCGATAGCATTCCAGTTAATAAAACTATTTTAATTAGACGTAACGAAATTAATAAATAATATTCATTCAATGCATTGACTTTCCTACCCATCAACTCTCAAGGTAGTCGCCGTCAAACCCATCCTCTTCGGAGTACTTCAACACGGAACGTCCACTGAGCTCTTTCATGTCGGACGACGAGTACAGACCAAGAGACTAAAACTATGGTGCTTGCATTGTCCACCTGGCCACTTTCCTTCTACCTTGCCTACTCAAACAAATTTACTAGATAGTCCACACTTGTATAAACATTTTTCTGTCGAAAATCGCGCTGACGGAGGCCGTTTTCGTGCTACCATTTTCAACTCCGTTCCTATTTACACGAATGTTTGAAGTGGCATTTGGAATCCCTCGGATGTTGAGGTTTTTCTTCTGAAAGAAAAACATGCAGTTTTTCCCATTTGGATTTCACCTCGTTAGGATTTTAGTCAGAAAAAAACATTTAATTAGATGCCACGGAATTAATAAATATTCTACCGTCAATAATTCATCTTTACTACCAATCTAAACGGTCTAATATGACTGTATTGACTCAATGTGTGCGCAAAACGCGTTGCCAACTCAATTTTGCGTCCGAACTGACTCCTTTCTTCAGTAGTATTTCATATTTGGATGAAAAATATCGTAATTTGCTGCAGTCGGTTTTTCCTCCGTCCAAGAATAACCGCTTTTTGGGGGTATTGATTTGTGTCAGCACCTTACCATGATTGGCCACGCCATTTAACCAATAGCGGCTCAGTCTCTTTGCTCATTGGCTGACACATAATCAATAATGTCAATTGGTAATTGAAGAATGGTTCAAGAGTGAACGGTTGTTGGGTTATGTGTAAACACGAAGCCTTACTGATACTGCACAGCGAACTAGTCTATCTGAAACAAAAACAAATTTAGACGCGTCGTTCTTGGAGCGTCCAACCTCAAGACGAATGTGTGGGT